AAATCATGAAAGAGAACGTTATTCTTTTTGTTACATTGGAAAAAGCATTTTCAGCTCTCAATTATTATATTATGATTGATGATTTGAGCTCTTCAACCAAGAATAGCATAGCGCAAACAATGTAAAAAGTCTGGATCAATTCCTTAGTTGACGTCACTTCATTTGCATTTTCAATTTTCAAATGTACAATAACTACAACACAAAAACAAAACATAAAGAAAACGAGAAAATAAATGAGTTCAATAGTCTTTTAAAGTAGTAAGAATTGTTGATTCAAAGAAAAGCAACTAAGAAGCATTTTGATAAGAATTCAGAATCTGTGCAAACATTGCAAACATTTACATCGAATCAAGACACCGCTGAGCGTGCAATGATAGAAACCTTCTTTCACACCTACAGACAATTATTCACAGGTATCTATCATTGCACACTCAAAAGTTGTCACACTTCGATGTAAAGGCACAACTACCTTAGTTTCAAGATGGCGCAGGGAACCGTGAAGGAGACTATTTCTTTGAATGTCAGCATGTGTATAAATTATGGAAGAGGTAAAAGGTTTTTGGTGATATTTTTAGCTTTTTAATCATCCCTATACTATATTTTTAAGCATCTACTATTTTCTCCATACCTTGTACAGATGGTAACACAACACCTAGAGTACCACTTGGGATGACAAGACTCTCTGCTGATGACTGCACTACAATCAAATGAATATCATCGTTTTTTAGCAAAATATGTTTTTAGCTTATGTTGGAGTTTGATAAGCAAATTATAAAAATATTCGACTTTTATGGGCTTTAAAACAGCTTGCTTGTAGTTGTACAGTTTTAGATGCCCTTCAAAAACTCATACATAATTAATGAGTTATTAGGCCAATAGAATGGGTTTATTGGGTCACATGCATGGACCTTTATGTCTGATAAAGGTCATCCTTAGATTCAGTGAAAACCTAATAAGACATGACGATTAACCATGTCCTTTTTAAAACATACATACACTGTACGTATATTTTATACAAGAGAGAGAATTATACATTGTTTAAAGGCCCAGTTTGCGGTCATTATGCTTTGCATGCCTCTGTTATTGCAATGATTTACACCAAAATACTTCTAGTATCCAAATATAACCATAAAACAAATTAAAATGATGGTTAAAAATTCTTATATTAGCATTTAGTGTTTAGAAATGTGAGATGGTCAAAGATTCAAAACACACTGTACAATTTATAGACTTTCGGTAAACTGAAAATGGCCACCTCCCGGCCCTCGCGGCCCCCAAAGCATAATGGTGCACACTGGTCCTTTGATAATGGATGTCAAAGAATGGTTTCATGTGGTATTATCAAACAATAGAAACCCCACACAGCTGTACTAACCTCCTCTGTGCAGAGTTTTATGATTGACAATCTTCCAAACTTGGTCATCACCAGTACAATCAACATCACCAACACTATTTTCACGCAGCAATTCAGTGTAAGAAGGCATGTTGTCCAGGAATTCAAAAACCTACAGACAAAACAACCACAAGGACAAAATGGAGAATGCCAATATTAATAATTATTAAATATAATTATATTATAATTATAATATTATAATTATATTATAATTATATAATATAAATAATTAATTCTCTTTTGTGCAAGCTTAGCTTGAATCAAGCATAAATTTTTATATAAGTCTTCTATGCTGAATAAAAGAATATATATTACATGCTTTCTAGGTTAAGGCTGCACAAATAAGGTATCGAAACTGGAGTATTATCTAAGACCAGGTACTGTATTGCATCTGTATGATTGACTACTTTTTACCAGTGTTAATTATCTTTTTACACAATTGTTTCTTTAGAAAAACCAACTCTAGTTTGGAAAACTACTAGTTTCCACCATTTTAAAGTTACRTTCCACTTACCTTCCCAGCAGACACCTCTTCCCCACAAAGGGATTTCATTAACTCCAAAAATGGAATAAACTGCATAGGAAAACTGACAAAGAAAGATACTCACGTCACATGCATTAATTTTTTTTTAAATATCAAGAATTAAGTAAGAAAATATTCAGATCTTTCTTGGTCAACAGTACTAACTGTACATCTAGTTAAGCAGGAGACTCCATACTAGGTGCCTACAAGTCCCAATTCTCAAATTTTCAAGTTTAATTTAATYTTAATTTAAAAGTTACYCTCCTCTTACATCATTTGCATTGCTACACCACCTGCCCAGACAAAATCCATAAGGTTCAATTGGAGATAGACAGCYGTCAATCAAAATCAAACTTCAGACCAGTGGTTGGAATTTTAGCTGTATCTGGACTTGATGCATAGCAATGCAAACGACAGTAAATGAAGACATGAGAAAGTCTGGAGGGTGATGGCTTATAATAAGGAATTCGGCCACAGTACTAAACTCATAATGGTACCTATTGCATGCTGATTTGAGCAGCAATCCTGTACCAGTGTCTAACCCCTGTAAACAAATAACATGGCATTACAATGACTAAATGATTCTTTGAATGGGCAAGTGCCCAGAAATTGTGTTACAACTAACTGCAGGTTTAAATAATGGATTATACTCACGGTNGAGGGCAAACAGCACAGCACAGCACAGCACAGCACAGCACAGCACAGCACAGCACAGCACAGCACAGCACAGCACAGCACAGCACAGCACAGCACAGCACAGCACAGCACAGCACATCACAGCACAGCACAGCACAGCACAGCACAGCAGAGCAGAGCACATTTAGTACTTCTTCGTTTATAATAAGCTTCATCAGTCTTTTCTGTTATCTAATATGTTTGTTTATGCATGTACAGTATATTTTATTCAGTGTTATTATCCATCTTTACCCTAGTATCACCAAGGGTTTCTTCTTGAAACATTGTTAGCACCAGGAACAGAAGTCCATAGACAACACTCCTACTGCTGCTTGCCACTGGCTACAATTTAACAGAAAAAAATATACATTAAATTGTTCAATAAACGTATTTTCTATTTACTTATTTCAATTAATACTTAAATTAAATACTTACCGTAACAGAAGAAAATGTKTCAGATTGCAGCATCCCATCCAAAAACTCAAATACACGGCACTGCAGAGCTTTGCTACCAATTCTTCTGATATCCTGTTTCCATAAAAAGGACTTTTATTATCAATACAGAAATTCATGGTAAAATTGYTCTCTCTAATAATTCCATGTTTTATTAATTCTAAACATAAAAAATGTGAAAAACGTGTGTTTGTGGTCTCTTTAAAAGTACTAAATAAATTATCATTATTGCAATAAATTGTGTTTCTATGGCAACATGCCTGTTCTTGATCTGTTTCCATGGTGATATATCGAAACACAGCCCAAGCTAACATGACTGGCCCATGTTGTGCTAGGCTTCCCCAGCTTACAAACAGTTTGTCCAGTGACTGTAAGATGAAATTCCAGGAA